TCAACAGTTTGAAATCATTAAACATTAAAGAAATACAAAAATTAAAAAAAAAATTTAGTTACATGTTCATTTATAATTTCAAATCATTAAGAATATTAGATTTCAAACTTGTGACTAGACTGTGGATGTTTATACATTCATAGCACTTCTTAATTGGGAAAATATAATAACATAAAGGTTTCAATAAAGTTTAATAATACATACAGCAAAATTAATAGTAAAGCCAATAGTAAACAATTCAAAATTCCACTTCGTTTTAATTTTTAAGTATTAGTATGTGAAATTGTGAATTTGGATAAACTGCCACAGTCTACTTATGACTACGGGTATTCTGATTCTTCCTTCTTTTCTCTGATTATTCCTCTGAAAATCTGACAGCATTTGGGTTGAACCGTGCGTGTGTAATGCACACTCCTTCATATTTTCAACAATCGAAGGGCTCAGTGGAAAAGGGTTACATGCATTATCTACGTTGATTTTTAATTTTTTGTACCTTCAAGAAGCTTTAACCATCAGTGGCATAACACTTTCGCAAACAAAAGCATATTAAAATTTTTTAACATTGAAAGTAAATAATTTCTTAGCGTATCAGAGGCCAAATCTGTCTCCTTAGAGAACTTGTAACAAAAAAGGGAGATGTGATGAAAGTGAAGAAAGAGAAGAATTTTAACACCTTCATCAAGAGTTAGGTTAAATAAAAATTTCTTGTACCGATTATTATTATTATTATTATTCCATATATTTCTTAGTTGTTTACTTTTTCTCAAACATATGTGGCAATATTAATAGTTTTTGATAGACAAATTGATTTGAAATATGTATCAAAAGAGGTGCTGATGAATAAATAATGCGTATTCAAAGTAAAATGTAATAAAGGTAAATCTAAAAAAAACTATATATTCTTCTCCTCTTCCTTAACCCTTCAGCGTCAAAGATTAAGATTTACCAAATAGCCTTAGTTTCAATGTTAAAGAATTTTAATCAGTTCTTTAGCAGGTCTGCAACGAAATGTTTCTCTTTCACATCCCAAATCGGATTGAATAAAGGAGACATAATCATATGTCTCTATACAACCTTTCTTGCCTTAATAGCCGTAATCTTTTTTTATATTGTTAAAAAACGTATCGTATACAGTAAATCCTCGGTAAATGTGAGCCGGATCCTTCACGATAAGTGTGAAGTCGTCATCCCCACCACTGGGGAAGGGGGCCACGGAACCAGTCAAGCGTATCATTTTTTGCCCGACGCGCCACGACGGCTAAACGAGGGGAACAACTTCAACGATGAAACGTTTTGTTTTTGGTTCCTTGTTAACGAAACTTTTACGAACATATTCGTGAGATTTTTCTGATTAAAATGATACCAAACACGATATAATTTCGATCATATTTACTTATGATTTGTCATAAGCGTTAATGAACGAATATGAATTGTTAACACTTTCTACATGAATAAATATGATCCAAATTATGTCGTATTTGGTATCACTTTAATTAGAAAAAATCTCACCAATAAAAAAAGTCTTTCTTCTCACCGACTGGCACGACGGACTCGACGGACAGAGCGGGGAAATGTATATGTATATGTACGACGCTTCGTCGAAGCGATTAAGCGTCAGCAAATGCTTAGAGAGCTGTCGACGAATGAAATTAGCTGGATCACCTCCAATCACACGTATTTTTATTATTGGCCGAAACGGTACATATACAATCGGACTGTGTGACGAAGAGAACGAACGAGACACATCGAGACCGAGTAAGATAACGAGAACCACAGTAATTACAATGTAACCATTGGCCGGTGGGGGCGTTGCAGGCGGGCTCACACAGTCCAATCGAGTGGGAAGAGATGCTTTCTCTTTCTGTTTTTCACTCGCTTGTCCTTTTCTATATCGGAACTTTATTCTACAAAGACAAGCTGCCGAGGCTCCTAAAAAACAGATTGACGAGGTGCTGGCAACTGTTCGCCTACAACATGACTGTGACTCTGCGGAACCGAGGCATCACACTTATCGAGACATTACTGTAGTATGAAATTTTGAGTCAAGATTTGATAGTAATTGCCATTTACCATCTACTTTAGATAACAACGAAAGTAACTGCAAGGTAATTCCGAATTTTCTGAGAAAATTATTTTTCCTAAATGTAACTTTCGTGTGAATTTACAGTATTGTGGCATGTATCCTTTTTCCACTAAAGAATTAACCCCCTGACATTAGTGAATTGGCTGTAATTTGTATAGCTGCTGTTACTTCAATTTTTATCACGTAGCCGTAAAACACTTAATCCTTGAGGGTATGCGTACCACAGGCTGGAAAACACTGCACTAAACCCCCCAATTAATAATTCGGAAACAAAGCCTCGAACGCAATTTCTTCATGCTTCATTTTCGCCTTACTTTCACATCTAGAATCCACCCTGCGAAAGTATTCCACACGTTTATTAACACACTGTACATACAATGTTCTAATAAAATAAAATGATAACTGCTTATCACATTTAGATAAACAAAAAGATTGTACATATCACATTTTATTCTGCCATAAGTTTGGCACCGTTCGTTAAATGAAGTCCAAAGTCAAACGGTTAAAATAAGATAGCGAATGCCGATTTCAGACTCCTAATAGCTTTTTAAACATGAGTAATTATCGTTAATTGAATGGAAGCAAGTTTTATTTTCAAAAGAATTCTATCGGATGAAATTTGGTTTCAGAGACGTCGATCAAGATGTTCTTTGTTTATGTTATACGGAGACCCATGACTATTTAGTGGCGGGCTTAACCGATGGTACAGTCAAATTGTTCAAAGTGAGTTCTGATGTAGATGTGTTGACATTACGGGACACCGAAATCATGCAGAAACCGAGTCCAACGACCGCCATTAAACATAGACCTGTTCAAAAGTCTCATCCGATTAAGCGAACCGTCACTGCGACGTGTAAGTATGTACATACATTCTAAACCGACCTCTTTTTACTTCTTATTTCCTTCGTATCGATTTGATGCATGAATACTGTAGAAAATTTACAATAGTTTCAATTTCGTATCGTGTTCAATAACTACAGATGCTAATGGTTGCGTGAAGTGTTGGCATTACCCGAGCTCTCAATGTTTGTATACGATACGGGAGAAGAGACAGACCCTTGGTTTGGCTTACCATTCTCATCTGCCAAAGTTTGTAACCACGGGAGATGACGCGAAGATTTATTTGTACGATGAGGAAACCAAAACCCAAGAAAGAGTATTTCACGCGAGGTTTGCTACAGCATGTTGTACTTCAGTTTACTATGTAGACATTAACGGTTTACTTACGCCCACTTCGCTGATGATCTGTTGATGGCTCAGCGCCGCTCTTAAAACAATGGCTTGTATCTATAAAATTAAGTATTATCAGACATATACATATGTATGGAAACTTTTTCCAGTATTTTAATGTGTGGAAACGATTTTTAAATATATCTTTATATTTTTAGAAATAATCGATGCGTGACATTAGGCATAACTTTGTTTCCGAAAGGAAACGTTAAAATTTAAAAATTATCTTTGTGTTTGTCACGAGTGATTGTTTATTTAATTAGTTTCTTAACCTCTGACTCAATTGAGGGACAGTCTTGACAAGTAACAATCATCAATTTCAGCGAACTTCGGTTGACAAGTGCAATACTGAGAAATGTTTGACATGTATTTTTCAACCAATCATTGTTTCTGTTATGCGCTGAAAATAACTATCAAAGTTAAGGATTAAATAACTGCTTGATCTAATATCTCGGGAAATATGTATAAGAGCTGAACACAATAATGAAATTTTCAACACGTATATAAGTAACATAAATCTTCGATATGTATTAATTAAATTTTCATTATAGCCTCAGATTAAAAAGTTGTAAAAAACGACCCTTACTATTTTCTTCGCGATTCCGACGAATTGCAACTTTTTCAATTTTTGTTACACATCATTTAGTAAACTAATGTCCCTAACTTCACAAAAGAACGCAAGTCATTTGGACCAATTTTAAAAAAGTTGTTCTATTTTAAAGGGTGTACGAATACTTTTGTCCGGTACTGTATCTACGTTTCTATAAAACAAGTTAGTACTAACGGCGAGAATATTAATTTTAGTGGACTAACGTGAGTGATATAACAAAGACTGAACCATGGTATTACAGGAGAAATTAGTTTTGAAAGAATATTTCTCACAGTATTGCCCGATCGCCACTTGGTATTACATTTATGTTGAATATCTTTGAATTTAATTTAAAATACTTAGATTCTTATAAATATGTTAAATAAAATTACAGATATTAAAGGCTGTCTTTATTACTTTTGTTTAATATTGGCGATTTTTTAATACTCGTATACTTAATGATGGAACATTGGATCTATAGTGAAATTTCGTTGAAAAGCCACCGTGATTGTGAATTTGTTTCTTTATAATTTATCCGTTTAGAAGAATATTATGCCAATTATAAAACTGATGTTTCAACATAATTCATAAACACAACTTCAGTTTGAAGAATTTATTTAAAACATAAGAATTGTGGAGTGACCTTGTAGAATGAAAACGGGGCAGATTTTATAACTGTCGTATGCTCACTTTACGGCTTGTATAATATCAATCACGGCAATTGGGAAGCATAAAGAATTCAGATCCCTGCGATTATACGAACGATGTTATTTATATATATTTCCTTCATGCGTTGTTGCTTTTTCATTTATAGGGAATTGATTTACAGATATTTTATTTGCAACAGATTTCCTTTTGTTGATTGTGACTGTGAGTGTTTCGTATATAGCAATTTTACCATTTATGATGATGATACGTATTAACAGTAGTACTCTCCTTTATAAGGGTTTGAACTTGAGACGGTTCAAATTGTAATGATTCCGTTTACAATCACTTAGTTTGCAATATTACACCTTATTCACAGTGATTAGTGATTTCAAGTAAAATAATTGTAACATATGTACAAACACTTTTCGTTCTAGCGAGTCAGTGGAAGTGATGGACGGTCACAAATCGAGGGTCTTTTGCGCGTGTTTCAACCCTAAATCGGCACACGAGCTAATCTCGGGTGGATGGGATAACACAATTCAGTTCTGGGACACCAGACAACCTTATGCACTACGGCGTATATCGGGTGTACACATGTGCGGCGATGGACTCGACATTACTAAAAATGGGAAAGAGGTATTTGTAATATATTCAAAATTTTAGATCGCTGTGTATGTCTTAATTGTGCCTTTCGCGACATCACTATAAAGTATATGTTCTCGTTTAACAACATTACCTTCAACTTGATAACACTCCCATTACTTTTATTTAGAAGAAAGCAGATATTGCTAAAACATATTCATGTCAATACTAAATGATTTTTTCTCGAAACTCATATCAATCTTCAATATTGTAACAGTTATTCGGCTGAACGCACGTTAAACTCACGTGAAAGTTATCCTCATTCGTACAGCGTTTAAGGGGTCATTGGCTCAGTCAGGAGGCCGAAAAAAGAGTGTTCTTTGGGAATTTTTTTCTCGAAAACTATAAGACCTTTTTCAAAAAATGTGTTTGTGTTTCAAAGATTGCAGTTTATAGATTATAAGGTAATTTTTTTATTTAGAAATATTTATTAGTAAATAAATGGTGAGCGATCTCCCGGATGTCTCTTCACAAAAAGTGGTCTGCCTTGATCACTGTAACGGTTCATCTGAAATTAAAAATTCAGCAAGATTTCTGTAATGGAAGAACCAATCTTATCTTTGAACGTGGGGTTTTTCGAAATATTGATTAGGAACAAAATAGCAGACGTTTTTCTGAAATAGTTCGATTTTCACCTAAAAATCACTCGTTTTTGATCAATTAAAAAAAAAGTATGGAACGAACAAAAGAATCCTTCGTTCAAGGACAAGTTTTTCTGATTTGAAACAAGGCGCAAAAGGCTTCGTGTAAATCGACACAGTGGTTTTCGAGAAATATTGATCACCGATTTGAAAAATGTAGTTTCGAGAAAAACGCGTTTAAAGTTTCAAGTCAAGCTTACACTTATACAAAATGTTCATTTTTTAACGCCTGTAACTCTGTCATTTTTAATTGGATTACCTTGAAACTTGCACAGAATTTTCTCGAGATGTTGTACTTAAAGAAAATGTAGAAAATTAAGAGGAAGGCATTGAAACAAAATAGAATGAATAACTTTTAATAACAGATGTATTCTGTGAACAGATCTTGTCCTGTGCCTGGCAAAGGCAGAACCCTATCCAATTGTGGGATTATGGTAGCGGAAAGCTTCTCGTCTCCCTAGAACCCGACGGCCACTCTTCTTTGCTCTATTGCGGGAAGTATGTTACAAGTATGTTTCTCGCATGCGGAGGTATGGATGTTAATATCTTTAGAGTGGTCGACTTGAGATCTCACGCTGTAAGTGTCTATAGAATTCTTCGGACCATTGACAGCTTATAACAACAATGTTCTTTCTTCGACAGACTTTAGGGATGATTAGAAATTTAAACGGAGGCGTATATAGTATGGACATTGGTCCAGTAAATCCAAAGCATGCGAAGAAAACGAAAACGGCCACCGTTGTACCACAGATCGCGTTCTGTGCCGGCAGACGAATCTTCGAAATAGACGCTCAACCTGGTTGATGATAATCGAAACATTGTTTCCGTTTAGATAAATCTGAAAATTAAATACTTCGATAAAAGCAAAATTGTGTTCACATAAATAAATGGAATATGTCACTGTTAAACTTGGGCATAAATAATTTAAATTATAAAACAAGAAATAGCACTTTACAGGATGAATCATTTAGACTGTTTTATTATTTTTGTTGCGGAGATAGTTTAGGAAATCATAATTTATTTTAAGTCGAATCCGAATAATTTCTTTCTCAAGCGAATGTGGTCAATCAATCGATTCGAGTAACATAATAAATAATCTTTCTGCTCTTGAATTCTAAACGGAAAGCACAACATTGGCGAAGTAACATTTTTATTCTAATATAATGTGTTACAGTTTAATAGCATTCCCTCTCAGGATTGTTCCGGTTTCAATTATTTTGTCTGAGAGACAACAGCAGTTAAAATGAACGTATGAGAAACTATTTGCAAAATTATCTCAGTAATAAAATATATTTCTACACACACAGTCGTCGCGGTGCATCATATCAAAACGAGCCTCGCATTCATCATCATCCGAGGTGTATAAAATTGGTCAACATGGCTTTGCAAACGCAATGAAAACGAGCGGTCCGATGATATGTCTGTAAACGACGAACACGGATGTCAGGAATACACACGGTAGTGTTTCCAGCAACGTTTCGCATTGTGCTCACTGTAGTCAAGTCACAATGTTAAAATCTTTTCGATAGAGAGTCGTCGTCACTGGTTGTCAAAAAAGCAGTACAGTCAACCGAACTCAAAAATCAATCGGGTCGCACAACGATACTGCGATTGTGGGATTGCAAAGTCTAGGGTTAATACACTTGATTGGTCGAACAGAGGCGCTTGGAATCATTCGAACGATTCGCAGCAGTTACTCCGAGAAAATAGAGGGTTTGCTACTTTCGTCTTCTCGCATACTGTGCACCATCCTAATCACATTATTTGCTCTAAATTACTAATAGTATATCTTAACGTTACGTCATTCCGAGGTCTTTTTGTGTACAATCTTTCGCTCGCGCCTCGGTAATTACAACGAAACAGAAGGAAGAGCCAGCTTGGTGTGCGGGGCCCGGACCTTTCGTTCACAGCCTGACCGAGCCGACGCTTCTTTTCTTCGAACATCTCAAGACTGGCTCTAACTTCTGCATGACGTCATCGAAAGACATCATGTTTGATTCCAAGCCCATTAGGTCTCTGACGACACATCGTAGGAATAACAGTTTCCGCGTATCCCTAATTGTTGCATTTTCAGCTTAAAAATAATTGAACTAAGAGCGAGTCAAGAGACGTCTGACAAAGAAGGAACATAAAACATTGAAGGACCTTGAACGTGCCTTAAAATTACACTCGGCGACAATACCATAGGGACACCTGTATTTATTTACCGTTCGAGAACAACGATTGTAGGTACACATCTGTATCTGTGAACACGTGTCTCGAGAACGGTGTAAATTTCATACAGAAAACAGCGAACATAGATGGAGAAACGTAAATTGTAATAAGAATTTAGAAAGGTGAGGCAACAGAAATAAGAACAGATCAGCATCAAGCAACTAAGGGTAAAAATAGAGAAGAAAGATAAGGCTAATAATGTCGATGGGTGACGTTCTTTAAGGAAGAATTGTAATGAAAGTCAATCGCTACAGCAAATCTAATACACCTTAACGCAAAAAGACCGTACAAAGGAAATGTTCAGATGATAGAAAAACCGATGGAAACGGGTGAAAGTAAAGGAAGAATGTGATGAAACAGATTGGACACATATAACATCTCTGGGCGTATATGGGATAGAACACTAGAAGGCACAGAGAGGCCGACAAAGAAAGAAAACCGGCCATCTAGGAGAAGATCATATCGAACAGAAATGAAATAATAAGAGGCAATGAAACATGCAGGGAAGAAGTTATGAAATTTCAGAAAAAAATGAAGGAAGATGAGAAAGAATGGAAAGCAGTTCAGGAAAGTATAAATAAGAGATTAGAATCGTTGGAATATAAAGTTAAAAAAACAGAACAGAAGTAGGGCAAGTGAAGATGAAAAAAATAGTCAACATATAATGAAAAGGTATCAGTAGGTAAAGAATGTAGTAGTAGAATAAAGAAATTGGAAACTATCGTGTAAAAAAAAGTTCCCAGAACGAAAATTCTAATTTTAATAATACTCTATGCCAGGTCTTGTCAAACATTCGACCTTGGGGATACAAAAACAATAATACCAGCCCCCACCACTTGCTTGCGTTCTTCGCCATTCTCGTGCAGAAGGTGCGCGCGCATGCTGTGACTGCCCCACTTCCAACACATAGTCACTATGTGAACGTGTGTTGCCAAGATCCGATAAGTAGAGATGGCGTGATTTTTCACAGTGATTCGTGATTTCTCGTGATCGTTTCTGATTGGTGGAGAAATATAACAGTTCTTTACACGCGACACATAATCTGTATATTTTATATTAACGACATCAAAACAAAAATTCGAGTTATATCGTATAAAGTGAAGGAATAATTAGAAACAATGAAGAATAATGAATAAATTAATGATTATAAATTATAATCAACATGTTACCTAGCAAATCATTCTTTTAGAATTTCTTGTTTTTTCTACTGATTTTTACAAACACAAATAGTAATGTAATTCATCGTAAAATCATATTGAATACGTTTTTCTGTTTATAGATCAAGGACTTACGATCGCAGTGAGCAAATTCACTCAAGATAAAAAAATCGCAATCACGGTCGTGAATGAAGTTAAATCACGACCGTGATCGTGATTCGGCGATCACTGTGATAAATTACCGTTAGTGATTTTGCACGCCATCTCTATCGATAAGTGGGAACTTCGGGAGTGCCGAAAGTGGGGACAGTCAGCATGTGCGCGCAACGCCTGCCTGAGGACGACAACACAAGCGAGTGGTGGGGGCTGGTGTTATTGTTTATGGGGTCCCGTCGGCGAATATTTGGCCAGGCCTGCTTTATGCCAATGTCGAGTTTGATGAAATATGTAACAAACAATATTTTCGATTAAAATTCACTCAGTAAAGGTGAAATCAGCTCGTATTTACAGTTGTTTGCATACAATTATGATACAATATTTTGTAACAGACATTTTCTCTGTTGTAAACAACATATTACAAATTTATTTACATCCGTAGCTGGACAGTTATACAGTAAATCCTCGATGAGTGTTCGAAGGCTTTTCGGCACTGAACATTAAAGATTTCGTAAACTAATGATCTAAACTAGATATCATTTGCTTCAGAATTCCAAGTTCTATCACTGTGATAAACTTCATTAAAAAGTTCGTGTTACACATGGAGGTCTCTCCTTGTCAATACCGAGGAGCTATCGAACACTCAACGAAGATTTCCCTTACGTGGAAATTAGCTCAGGTAAAGCCAGTAGCGTGTTCTTCTTGTTCTTCTGTTCTCTCCAAACCCAACTCTCGAGCTCTCCTATTGTAAACGTGACAATTTCTGGTCAAGTCATTTGAAAGCAAATACTAATCGAGAAACTCAAATAATGTCACCAGTATTATCTCAAAGAATCATAAAAAATATTATGTGGAATTTATGTAGTAATGGAGTAATATCTATGTTGAAGTAATGAACACCTCGATGAAGTTCTATTTAAGACAAGTTTCTAGTAATTTTGTTCGTCAAAATCTTTCTGAGTTACCCTATATATTTAAATACATGAAGGTAAGTGACAAAAAGTGATAAATGCACCGTGCGGTGTATAATGCTTAGAATGAGAACGAGCAATTTAAAAGAAAATTCTACTTTGATGGGTACAGTAATTCGATCATGCCTGTTACGTGTGTTAGAAATATGCAGGGCAAAAAAAATAATATTGGGAGTTAGAGACAGAGAGCAAAAACGAGAACTGAAACACGCGCGTAGCCTTAAATATGTGCAAGGTAACGCAAAAGTAGCACAACCCTAAGTTTCGCTCAAGTCACAACTGTTGTGAATAATACAGAAATCGTACGATGATAACAGTGATAATATTAATGTGTTAACTGTCAATTATTCAGGTTTGTTCCAAGAGAGGTGTACAATGTCGTGTAATAATTGTTTACACCTGCAATGCGTGCGTTCATTCTCGCAGCGTATTTTCATGGAATTTCGTTCCTCAAAGTAAAAGAGAAGTTCACCATCCATCAAACTGACAAATCGACAATCAAACAATTGGCAGACATATTTCGAGCGGAGATTTTTGTTGACTATTGTTGAATTCACTGCGACCAGGATGTTTAAACATTGTTACTTCCATAAAGGAGCAACTATTATGTAAAATAAACGGTGACTTGAATGATAGCAGAATTAATTGACATAGAACATGCGATTGATAAATAATACAAAAATATAAGAATGATTAAAATAATGGGGAGTTCGGTCTCTTATTCGAGATCGCTCATGAGTGTTCATTCTATAAAAAAAACCACTCCTTTCGAAAGAAAATTCAGGTGCTAGCTAATATTACAAAAACTATACAGAGTATTCAGAAGTAATCCAAATCCATTTAAGTTATCGAATAAGAAAAATATTTTGCAAACCCTCCACTTCATAATCTAGTCGTACGACCAAACTGGAATTCCAATTAATTTTTTTTGGTGGATTTTCACAAATCTATGACCTTGACGGTGTACTTTTCTTTGCGAAGAAACCGACAATGGTTGAAAAATTAAGACCAACATTTTGCATTGAAAGATGGCAACTTTTGTTTCTTCGAACTTTCTTTCCTGTAAGCACGTATAATGATTGGTCAGTGAAAATTATGTTTCAATGTTTTTATTTGAAATACTGCTTAGAAAGTATCACTAACCAATGGTCGATTCTTTCGTGGAAAAACTGAGTCCGAATACGACAGAAATCGGATCTTGACAACTGCTGAGTTGATTTTCGTGCTAAGTTGAAGAACGAACCGAGTTCCCGCGGTAGCGTTGACTACAAATCGCAGCGCGCAGCCACCGCTATCGCGGGAACTCAGCTGGCAAACTCGCGCTCTGATTGGTCGGGATTTTTCGTTAATATTAGGTCGAGTCATAAGTAACTTCCGATGCAGCTAAGTAGAATCTATTGTTCGTATCTACCCGCTATGAGTTACCATGACAACAAGTTTTTGTTTTCACTATATAGACGAGGCTTCAGTTAATCTTTTGTCAACTGTTTTGTGTGAACACGTTACGATAAACTGTTTTTTTTAACCTCTGAAATGGAGAGTCAAAAAGTACATATTCGTCATGTAATGCTTTGGGAATTTAAACAAGGCAATAGTGCTAAGGCGACAGCTGAAAAAATATGCAGTGTATATGGTGAAGGATTAATAACTGATCGGGCAGTTAGAAATTGGTTTATAAAATTCCGTTCTGGAGATACGACCTTAAAAGACGAACCGAGGGCGGGACGTCCTTCCGACTTTGACGACAACCTTTTAAAGGCAATATTGGAGCAAAATCCACGTCAATCAACAATAGGTATAGCAGAAAGGTTGAATACATCACAATCAACTGTTAACCGCCACCTGGAGAAATTAGGGAAAGTCAGCAAGTTAGGAGTATGGGTACCTCACAATCTCAGTGAACGGAATAAAGAAGATCGCATGTCAATCGCCACAAGTCTGCTCTCACGGGTAAAAATTGAGCCTTTTTTAAACAGGATTGTAACAGGCGATGAAAAATGGGTTACCTATGACAATATAGTCCGCAAAAGACAGTGGCTTGATAAGGATCAACCACCCCTACCAGATCCGAAAGCAAACATCCATGGCAAAAAGATTTTATTGTGTGTATGGTGCGATTGTCAAGGAATAATTCACCACGAGTTGTTGAAGTCAAATTTAACGATTACTGCGAATAGATACGTTCAGCAGTTGCAAAGAGTGCAAGAGAAACTCCATGAAAAGCGTCCTGCACTCGTCAATCGCAAAAACGTCATTCTTTTACACGACAATGCGCGACCACATACAGCAAGGGTGACTCAAGAAAAAATTCTTGAGCTTGGATGGTCTGTTTTACCACATCCACGTTACTCCCCGGACCTTGCCCCGACAGACTACCACCTTTTCTATTCCTTACAAAACTTTTTGAATGCCAAAAACCTTCAATTCTGAAGAGCAAGTCAGGCAGGCTGTCGAAAACTTCTTCCAGTCCAAACCAACCACATTTTACAAGGAAGGAATTGATAAACTGCCAGGAAGATGGGAGAAGGTTATAGATAATAGTGGTGAATACATAATAAATTAATATAATTTTGTTATTCAATGAGAGCAAAATAAATGTCTGATAAAAAAACGGAAGTTACTTATGACTCGACCTAATATCTCGGTAACGAAGCCTCAGATTACATTGTTGCTAAGGACAAACTTGTTCCAATTTACCCCCCGAGTGTCCCCTTTCCAGGTCGGACAACATTTTTGTTACACCCTGTATATGTGTGAGTTATTCTTGGGGCCACTCGATTGTGTTACTTTCAACACGAAATCTGTACCGAAATTAAAGTAAGATATTTAGGCTTGTTGCATATTACTTCGCGTAAAATTTGATTTGAACGCAATTTCCCCTTGTTACTGTGTCAGATACGTAATGTTACAAAATGCTGCCTCAGTGGAATCCAGCCTTAACGCTTACAATGTTGCCTTCGATCATTGACAGACGATCAGTACAGTTTGAAGTAATATTGCTCTAGTTATTTATCTTTAAAATTATCGAATATTTACATCTAAGATGTGTATATAGGGTGTAAGTAAAATGTTGAAGGAACCGGAAATAGAGACTCGTGAGGTGACTTGAAACAAGTTTTTCCTTTGCAAACATGTTATCCGAGGCTTTATTAACGAGATATTAACAAAAAAAAAACCCCCCGACCAATCAGAGCGCGAGTCTGCTGGCCAAGTTCCCACGGCAACGTTGACTACGCGCTGCGATTGGTAGCCAACGTTACCACGGGAACTCGGCCGGCAGACTCGCGCTCTGGTTGGCCGAGGTTTTTTGTTAATATCTCGTTAACAAAGCCTCGGATAACATTTTTGCTAAGGAAAAACTTGTTTCAAATCACCTCGCGAGTCTCCCATATCTGCATCCTCCAACATATTTGTTACACCCTGTATATACACACATTTAATTAGACATTTTGTACCTACAACGTCAGATTTAAAAACTGCAGTTTGGACAACAGAACAGAAAAGTAGTATAATTGATGATAACAGCAAAACCCATAAAAACAGGTGCCAGCAATGGAATACCGTATTTTGTTTCCAATCTAGTGGAATGATACTTGCAGTAGCGAAGTTTTTCCACTTCAAAACTGGCCATACTTTCTTTATAAATGAATCTCCACATAAATGGGACATTGCAGTAATTGACAATTTACTCTTGGAGGGCAGACTGATTCATAGCTTTATCTATTCGGAAGTCACCTTCTCAGAGGATGTTGCTATATTTTTAAGGAAATTTTTATTTACCTCTACCAGAAATGAACGAATTTTTATTTAACTCTCCAAGACAGTCTAAGAAAAGTTCAAAATTGTATGGAATTAATCATGAGTAAAGAACCAGAAACAACTTTAAATCATATGACGTGTTCAACAGCCCTCTCCGAAGATGACAAGGAAGAAGAGCCCAGTGGTATGGAACTGAGCACTATTACTCAAGTGGACAAACCATCTTATAAAGAGGATTCTACAATAGACAAAGATAAAGTGACCGAAGATAATCGAGAAATAATATGCAAATTTATAACCACTTCTTTGATTCCTGAGAATCTACTGCGTCAAAAAATAGATAGATCATATCTTTATCATTCAGTACTCAATCATCCCTCCGCTACCCAAGTCCTTCTAGACAGTTTGATTAAAAATGTATCTAAGAAACAAGAAACTGATCTGTGGGTACATATTGATAAACAAATAATATTCCCAAACATCTTAGCGACAATGGTCCAATTGCCTTATCAGTTGAATAATCTATATAAGGATATTGTATTAAAGTCTTCGGACACATTATCGATAGAGATATCCCGGAAGATAACTATAGATAAAGAAAGTACAGTAGAAGAGCTAAAACATCAACAATTGTCGATGGTGTTAACTAAACTCCCAGAACCCACTAATGTACAGCCATTCAAGCCTCCAGTAATGACTCCAACCACAACACAACCAATGATGGCACCAACCAAACTATGTGGAATTAAAACTGTAAAGATTGTGTCAAGAACACATAAAACTGATACCTAGTCCAGTCTATATGGCGATCAAAAATCATACTAAGCAAGAAAAAATTTCCCAAACCAAAAAACAAAAAACAGTTGTAAAGCTTTCTAGGTTTGACAGGATACTTCTGAACATTTATTGAAGATTATGCAATCATCGCGACACCCTTATTTAATCAAACAAAATCAGCAATTCACTTGGAAACTAGAGCAAAAGAGAGCATTTTTAACGTTAAAGTCCATATTGTCCACAAATCCCGTACTAGGAATCTATGATCTAAACGCCGAAACGAAAGTGCATACCGACGCGAGTCAAGAAGGATTCAGTCCGGTACTGTTACAAAAAGTAGAAAAAAAGAACGCGTTTCATCCCGTGTATTATTATCGCAAAATGACGACAGACACGGAACGAAGGTATCACTCATACGAACTAGAAGTGTTAGTCGTAATAAGCGCAGTAAAGAAATTTTGTATTTATTTACTAGGCGTGCCGTTCAAGGAACGAAAGAAAAAGACGATCGTCGGGACGACGGTCAAACGGAAAACGTGACCGAAACGGCAGTGGCAAAAAGGGCATGATCAAGGAGAACCTACGGGCGGTTAATTTTGTATCTTCCACTGTTAAATATTATCATTATTACGACGAGTTTATGATTATTTTTATATCGTTCTGAAAACCCATCCTACATATATGTATATATACAGGATGAGACACTTAAAACCGGCCACCTGAATAACTTGCCTGCTATTGATGATAGGAAAAAATGCATCAGACCAAAATTATTTGGTATCGAGGGGCTGATCATCCTATATTACTAGCTTTTTGATAGATCGAGGCGTCAAGGAGATATGAAGGTCATCTCTGTTTTTTTAAATGGAACGGTATGCTTTTTTATTTACATTCTGATAGAGTATTTCAAGACGAATACAACGACCTATTGGAAAGGTCATTCGTGGTCTGGGTTAAGCCAATTGTGATGCAAAATAATTTACTTTGAGGAAATGGTCGAACACTTCCTTGACGTCTCTGGTTGTTGATATTATTACTTCATCTCTGTCTCGTAATCTCTTGTTATGGGTCGTTGAATGGAAATAAACATTCAATCACGCTGTACGCTTCATCTGTACATACTATGATTAGTCGTTTATGAGAATCTCTGCCGAGCGAAGTGTATCTCAAGTTTCCGAAATGCGTTATTCAATAGCGGAGAAAGCAGATATGGTTTTTGTTTATGGGGAATGTCGCCAAATTGTAAGAGACGCAGTCTGATTGTATGATGAACGGTTTCCCGAACGTGTCACACCTTCACGATCTGCATTTACGAATGTTATTAAAAGTTTTCAAGAAACTGGACGTGTAGATAACAAAATACGAAGAAGATCCTAGGCAGCAACTGATGATCGAAATACAGTGATCATTTTAGCAGCTGTAACACAAAATCTAGTACAAGGCAGCTAGCACGTGAAAGTGGCACCAGTCAACGAAGTGTTTTGCGAATATTACATTTAAATAAATTCCACGCTTTTCGTGTTTCACTTCACCAAGAATTACATGGGAATGCTTTTCAAAACCGTATAAATTTTTGTGAATGGGGTCTGCAGAAATTACAGACTGATGAGCTGTTTTTGACTAAAGTTTTGTTTACGGACAAAGCCACATTTACAAACTGTGGCCAAGTCAATCGTCATAATATGCATTATTGGTCAATAGAAAATCCACAGAGGTTGCGAGAAGTGGATAAAAAAAGACCTTGGTCTGTAAACGTTTGGTGCGGACTTCTTAACGGTAAAATAATTGGTCCTTATTTTATCGATGGCACATTAAACACTTCGAGATATAAACACATTTTAACGGAAATTTTGCCACACCTGCTGGAAAATATTCCGTTTCACATACGGCAAACTATGTGGTTCCAACAAGATGGATGCCCTGCTCATTCTGCACGGATAATTACTCAATTCCTCCACGTGACATTTGGAGACCGTTGGATTGGTCGTGCAGGAAATCATAAATGGCCCACACGTTCTCCAGATTTAACACCTCTGAACTTCTATTCGGGGGGAAAATTAAAGCAGCAAGTGTAATAATGAAATACCAACAACGAAAGAAGGTATGATAGAGCATATGAGAAGAGTTTATGCCGCGATAAACACAACTGAAATTCAACATGCCGTATTATCCGTCAAGCAACGCTTCAGAGCATGCATAAATGTTCAAGGTCACCATTTTGAACACTTGTATTAGTCGTGTATTACTGTTAGATAAATAAATTAACGGTGCTTGATTATTTCCTCAAAGTAAATTATTTTCCATCGCAATTGGCTTAACCCAGACCACGAATAACCTTTCCAATAAGTCGTTGTATTCATCTTGAAATACTCTATCAGAATGTAAGTAAAAAAACATACCGTTCCATTTAAAAAAAAGAGATGACCTTCATATCTCCTTGACGCCTCCACCTGTCAAAAAACTAGTAACATCGGATGATCAGCCCCTCGATACCAAATAATTTTGGCCTAATGCATTTTTTCCTATCACCAATAACAGCCAAGTTATTCAGGTGGCCGGTTTTAAGTGTTTCACCCTATATATACACTCATACATACATACATACATACGTACATATATAAAATGGAGGAGCCCTGCCCTTGTTAGGCTAAATTCTTCGCACTAATTTCGACCGTACAATACATATACTTTATTTGTATGTACATTTTCATAAAGTTTTGTTCAGTTGATGACGAAACGAAAGTTTTGGGCAGCGCTAGTTTTTTGTCACTCTGTAACATTAATAAGTATCGGAGAAAAATATTATTTTACGGTTGCAACTGAAGAACGAAAACTAGATTGTTTGTGATAAAGAAAATTTTAGAGAAAGCAGAATAAAAGAAAGAACTAGACTGGATAAGAAGCAATATACACAAAATCGCGAGTAAAACATTCAAGAGAAATGGAACAGAAGAAAGGAAATACAACCGTTCCAAAAAATATAAATAAAGAAAGGGCGAGGATAAAAAGATTAGTGGATAGAAAATGGTATAAAAGGTAAAGACGAAGAACAGCTGAAGAAATAAAGGAAAGGGTAAGATGTGTAAATGTTCAGTACAGAAATTACAGAAACAAGACAAAAAAAGAGAGTAGAGTTTGTAAAAAAAGTGAGGAATCCGGGCTGTATCTGCAGTAGTATAAGGGAATAAATCAATGTGGGAGAGAATAAGTCAAAGAAGGGGGAGCAATGAGGAATCAACATTGAGGTGTACAAATATAACAAGCGCTACAAAAAAGAGAGACACCACAATTGTAATTTAGGAAGTTCAGCGAATTGATAATATATTGTACAACCTTAGATTACTGGAACTGAATGTACAGTATTCTGTGTAAATATCCAAAAGCATGTAAAATGCATGGATTGTGCAATAAATATCTATTTATCTATTTTTTCACTGTTTCACAAAACGGATGTCATATAGAAACTTTCGACACAATTTTCTGTAAAGATAGCCGTTCGCATTAATCACTTGATAGCACTAGTTGAAACAAGAGACTATTGATAATAATGTTTTGTACGAAAATATTATTTATCAACAAGAGCAAGTGTACCAAAAGAAAATGACAATACCCAGGTTTTCAGATACTAAATATTAATAAAACACGTCTTAAAGAACACATATGGAACATGTAAAGAATTGTAATTAAATATCGGATAAAAACAAATTTTAACTACAAATACTAACGTACATTACAGAAACATAACTTTTACCAAGCAAAAAATTAAAATGATGAACAGAAATGTTTGTTTTATGGGAAAAATTCGTTTCTAAGTAATAATAATAAATAATAACTTAGTTTTTAAAGAAATTTATTTCATGTCAAGATAATGTCGTAGTCATAAAAAAGCACTGTCAAATAAATATCACAACAAAGGAAACATTACCATCGGTCATTGCAGCCAGTTTACCAAAAATGATAACAATCATTACCCAGTAACAATTATTATCATTATAAAAGTATCGATTAAAGAAGACTAAGTATCAGAAAGTTACTCAAGTCAAATATTATTTTAAAAGCTGCGCAAATTTGTAGGATGTTTTTTTCGGTCTGGTTTCTTAGCATTTTGTATTATTCTGAAGTATAAATTTTACATCAACAGTATTATCAACAGTCCTTTGTTTCCAGATATTGTTATTGAAAACGTACTAGGCGTGATGATCTTACAGTGAGTAGTACAAGTTTGCAAATTGTATTTGTTTCAGGAGATATCGAAAAAATAGGTGTCCTGTCTTTATCTAATTGTCGCGGAGTGTAGTACAAAGACTCACGCGAATAATACAGAATTTTCTTGCTATGGGTTCGCTTTAGAGAATCATAGGCGAGCTCAGTAGCGAGTAATGGACGCATTATGACATGTAGCGTTTGAGTTTTGTTTTCTATCTTTTATTTGTAAACTCAAGCGAAATTAAGTCCATTTTTTTTCAAAAAGCGGCAGTTCGCTACCGGTACATTGATTGAATGTTGTGCGCTTACTAAGTTACAGATTGCAAACTACAAATCGATTTGAAGAAAAACCCATAGTGAGAGAATTCTGTATGTTATGGTGGGAAGCGAATATAAATCTTGTCCCCGTCGATTTGTCGTCGAGTTCGAAGAGGACCATCCTCGACTCGTTGGCATCAGTAGAGATCACACAGTTACATCGTGGCCACGACAACATACCCATGCATTCAGGTACGCGCACTCAAGTTCGATAGTAAGAGAAAATTTTTCCCCTTTACATGGTGTTATAAACCGGACTGTTATGCCTAGGCCTGACCTGCAGCCTAGCGAGAGGATGCGTCCTGCCGTGCTGTTGCTGCTTCTTGTTAGCTGCCACAACTCCGGCCGACGGGACAGGTGGCCTGCCAGGTGCTTCCGATGTTTCGTTAAACAAAGAGGACGAAAGATTGTTGATCGTGATTGGCGCAGACCTTCTGCTGTACTCAACAGTGGCTTTCGATTTTCTCGAAACCGGTTTTACCTCATATTTGCCGACCAGGACTCTGACCGACCGATCCTCTGCGCTTTCCTGCGAGGATGCCGATGCTTCACTCACCTTCTCTTCTTCTTTGGTTTCGGACGGGGCTTGAATCTTCGATTCATTGTGTGGGATCACCGGTGACGAGGGTAGACTCCTGATCTTTACATCGGTCTTGGTAGACTTCGCCTCGAATTCTTTCTTGAGATTCTTTACAATACCGGAAATACTTCGCGGGCATTCAGTTTCCGGAGAATCGTCCACGGGTAAACAACGCTTATTGTACATTGATTTGTTACTCAGATTCTCCAAGACCATTTTGTGGTGTTTCACAGAAGGACACTGAGTGGTATTTACGACACAGGGGCTGGAGGTTTCGCTCTCCGATCTACACGACCTCAAGGATGTTGGAAGGTCCGAATCCGACGACAGAGAAGATGGCTCTGGCGCACTTGTGGATAGCCTTCCCACTTGTCGAATCGACGGAGACGAGATATCAATTCCTCTAATGGGACTCGGAGAGTTTCTAACAGTTACTTTTATTTCAACCTTATAATTATGTTCTTGGCTAGGTGAAGAGTCTCTGCTTCTCGGTGTAGGAGATCCTGTACGATGTAAAAGTACCGGATTATAAGATTCTTCCTCAACAGTTAGCCTATCCTTGTTCTCTGGGTCTGAAGTCTGAGTACACACACGCTTCACTGTTCCAGAAGACGTGTTTTCTTCCAACTTCTGCTTCGTACGTTTCACCGTGCCCGGATGCCAAGGTATTTCTTCTTTATCATAAGGAAACAAACCGCTAGAGCCAAGAGGATCCGATGACCGCATGTCATACGAGCCCCAGGAACTGTTTCTCGACGGTAGAGTGGCCCAGGAACTATGCACGGAATTGTTGTCTAGGACCACAGCACTATCGTAACTATTCCACGAACTTTGCCGACTAGGAGAATCTCTCGTAACCGGTTCTCCATGCCTCTCTTCGCGATCGAACACTCTGTCAACCTGCGTACTGAATGGATCACCGTCCTTTTTTGCTTTTCGTCCCACAGTGCCCGAATACATTGACATTGTCGCGACACATTCACTGTCCGCACTCACTTCGTCGTTAGTCTTACCGTTACTACACGAATTGGTACACGTTGCATCCGATGATACAGTCCAGACTAGACATTCACTATTGTTAGCACTTTCTGTTTTCTTACTTTGCTTCTCGCCAGGATCCCACACGTCCAGCTTCGATTCCGACGTTTGCTGTGCAATTCCATTTTCTTGCACACCTATGATTGGACTCTGCAGACGTGGTTTATTGTTGGAATCCGAAGTCGGAGAAGACGGTTTGCTACTCACCGCCTCGAACTGACTCGTCAGATTCAATACCAAACCTTTCCTCCGCTGTCCTTGCGTTTCTAACTTACTGATTCTATTTTTGACGCTCGGTATATCAGGCGAGGGGCTGGGCAAGTGAACAATTTGGTTCTGTGAAACGCTGTACGACTGACCGTTGCCACAAGGCATTAGAACATTTCGAGCTTCTTGAGCCATGTTGGACTTCTGGTTCGTAGAGCGGAGGAGGTCTTCCCGAGTCACTTCCGTGCTCCCCGTTTTATCTATGCTTTCGAGGGACTGCGAAAGGGGAACTGTAAGAAAACATCGTTGAATTAAACAGTAGAAATGGCAAGAACGTATATTGTCGACTGACAGGGAATCCTACACAGCTGGCCATCACTGATTTCAATGAAATTCTGTAGGATGGTTAGATAAATATGTATGAAAGACACTGATAGGACATTAGCCGTAAATGCAATAAAATTTTGAGAAATTTGAAGTCAAAGTTTGGAAAAATCGTCTACTTTAATAGGTATTAATGTCCGCGATCCGTTGTCAATAGGACCGTTGGCGAAGCGGCAGCATAGCGTACTGAAACTTTTTTGACCTGCGCTCAAGTCTCGTCGCACCTATTATTTTTTTCGCATATTTATTATTAATAAAACAGTTTTATGTAAAAGTAAAAATATATACGTACCAGTTTGAAGTATTTGTGTAAGCAATAGAATTTTATTCCCTGCCTGTACATACATTTGGATGAAACTTATATCATAAAAACAAGTAAAACGTAAATTTATATTACACCACGAACATCTCGCAAAAGAAGCTGCTCACTATTAAGTGATCAAAACCGGAGACTTACTAGTCGAAACGACACTATATAAATTCATTCAGTAATATCAATCAACTACAAGCACCACCAGCAGACAGAAAATATGTAAATATGATTAAATTCGCGTTGTTTGCAGCTAAATTAACTCATGATAGGAAGATTTTTCAAAATCTAAATGAAATTATTTTCCTCACAAACATAATTATGACTGTTCGTGCAAGCAGCCTTCTTTTTGATGATAAGTTTCATCCAAATATGAAAATGAGATTTGAAACCAGGTAAAAAAAGGGGCAATTCACTATACTATGTTGTCGCTCTGCCAACGGTACTATAGACAAAGGATTGCAGTCACCGATAGTTAACGGACCAGGCGATTTTTGACACATTACCTTTACATTTTTCAAAAGATTATGGTCATCTACAGTTAATATTCTACCAATGTCTCTGACGCATGTTCTATACCTATTGATCCTACGCAATTTCATTGAAATCAGTGAAACCCAGGTGCGAAGCAGTCCTTGTAAAACGCTGGTGTTAAAATAGGAATAATGTAAGGAATGCTAAAAAGTACTAGGAATTTTATTATTCCCTTCTCAAGACTAGCATTAATACGAATTTTGTATCATTGGTTGCTGGTAGTATATTCATTGGCACATCACTGGTTACAGTACTACAAAATTGACGAAGACAGGTCCCGAAAAAACGGTATCAATTTTTTTGACGCAGTGGATAAGCGTTCAATCACGACAACATTCTGGTATACAATGCCCTTCCGATACAAAAAAGACTGTTGCTCAGAAAAAAGGTCCTATATGTTTCCTAAATATTTTATAATGTTAAACCATTAGAGCAAAGGTGACTGGAACTTAACAAATCCTCACAAAATGACTTTCAATAATGTTTTCAGAAGTAGTAGCAACATTCGATCATGTGCATATCATCCCCAAAAAAATTCGTAGTACTTTTTTTTATCGTCCTTTGTGTTATATTGGGTGTCTTAAGTCGAGTAGTACAACCGGACAGGGGATGATCCTATAAGAAGGTTTTCGAGATAATTAAACTTGAAAATTTGTTGGATACACGGACAATACAGAGAATAGTTCATTGTAACCCGTGTCTATTTATTACCAGCACGAACACACACGCTGAATGTTCAACAAACCTAATTGTCTCGAAAACGAAATCTCAAAAGAAACAAATTGACGCATTCTTTTTTTTTCAACTTATTTTGTCTTATAGAATTACCTCTTGCCCGGTTGTACTACCTGACCCAAGATACCCTGTATCTTACATTATACAATAGAATGGAATTTGCGATTAATTCTTAATGATAATATAATTGATAGAGCCAACGTAAATTTAATACGTATCAGATTAAATATTTTGTTAAACATTAAAGTACACAAATAAAAATATATACTTGGCAAGGTACTGGAAAGTGTGCGTTTAAATGATTTTATTGTGCTAGGTGACACATAAATTATCTTTTTCGAGTCGAATGCTTTTGAGCTCTCAACATGGTCCGTCTACATTTACGCAAAATCATTATTGTGTTTTTATGTTTTATAAGCAGTTACGTGAGGAACTTTTACCAGTAACTTACGATTCTGAACCAGTAACGCGTGTCGAGTGAAGCAAGACATGTAATTATTTCACGTCTGTGTAAAATCTACACTGGAACTGACTAACAACAGGTACGTCAAAGATTATCTATCCTGGTTGGTCTTGTGTGGAAGGTACACGTTTAGGTTCGAGATAATTAAGTGCTTTGGCTTTCTCAAAGGCTATGGTTGGTCCTTAATCATAGATTTCTATTTGTCCATTACTGTATATTTTGAAGTACCCTACATTTCATATTATTATTTATTTAATAGAAATTTTGTTTCAAAAGTTTTGAAAGTATACAGGGTGGGGCAATAACTATTACCACCTCGGATAACTTCGAAATTGTAAGGTTCATAGAAATATTTGTTTAATCGAAACTGCACAGTACCCAGAGAGTCACTCGATGGCGCTAATAGTTTTTTTTGCAGGTGGAGGTACTTTGGATATTTCAAGGTCATCTCAAAGTCACGCCAGCTATAGATTTTTTTCTATGGGGAACATTGAAAGATAAAGTGTACAAAGAAGTACGAACTACACCTCAAGACATGCAACAGCGAATTATTGTAGTCTGTGCGTCAATAAGTTCTAACGTAATAAGACTTGCATGTCAATCAGTCGTAAAAAGAATCCAGTGTTGCATTGATAGTGATGGTCATCATTTCGAACACCTATTATGATCTTATATAATACGACGTTGAACTTGTTTTAAGCTCCTCTATCATTCTACGGAAACAAAAAGATACCGATCCATTAAAAAAAAACGAAGATGACCTTGAAATATCCAAAATACCTGCTCCTGCAAAAAAACTATTAGCGCCATCGAGTGGCTCTCTTCGTACTGTGCAATTTTGGTTGAACAAATATTTCTGTGAACCTTATAGGTTTGAAGATATCTGAGGTGGTAATAGTTATTGTCCCACCCTGTATATGAAAGTCTAACGTAGGCACCAAGGTAGGTACTTGGTCTGCCAATAACTTTAAATTACATTTCACCATAGAACTTTTTCTTAGTAGTTATGCAGCAATAACAAAAACACCTAATGTTAGATTTAGGAAACTAACATTTGAAGACCAAGGATGCAGACAAAAAACATAGTGAGATCCTATGAAAAATGTACATAATCCCATGATAAAGGCTGCAGTAAAATTAGGCTCTCCTAGAATTTCAAACACTTTCACCTCTATCATGGGTTTTAAAACTTACAGAAGAAAGTTTTAATATACTTGTGGTATTCGTTAGATTAAAAAAGAATATGTCAGAACAAGGAAAATATATTTTCCGATTTCATTCAAAGTCTACGAAGCGATATTCAACAACCAACTAATTTGATGCTCGATTAAAAAATTTAGAAAAAAAAAATGTTTACCAATGGAAGTACTATAATAATGTTATTATTCAGAATGAACAAATTAACCGTTCAGATTTCGAAAACAGTCCATTTAACTGTCTATAATCCATAGAAACTTATAATTAAATATTAACACACAGAAGCTGCGAAATATTACGTACCAGAAGGCAACATGTTTTCAGTAACGTTTAGATTCGGCGACCAACTCTTCGGTCTATGGCTAGTTTTTTTCAACTCGAGACCCGAAACTGTTTGCAACCCGCTGTCTACGTTACCAGACTTCTCCTCTTTTTTCGACTGTTCTTTCGTCGATGTAGGAGACTTCAAATTCGTATCTGATTTAGATCTTTGAAGTTTCTCCTTGTTTTTCATAGCATCTAGGATACCCTGATAAGTCTCCAACTGTATCAAGAAGCTGTTATTAGGCTTAATACAGTTCCGCTTTTCTTTCACGTGTTTCCAGGCCTGAGGAAAGTTCCAATTGTACGCCTTCATCGCATACGCGATCACCACCGAGGCAGATCTGGAGACTCCCATCTTACAGTGTACTAGTACCTTGGAACCCTCTTTCTTTGCCTTAGTGATATATTTGAACGTGTCATCCCAGTGCTTCAATAAGTCTGTCGCCTCGTCGTCATACACACGGACATTCAAATACGTGAACATGCCGGGAAAGAAGTTGTCGATTTCCCGAGTAACGTTCAGGATGTGTCTAACGCTAGAGACGCAAGAATAATTGTCAATATTTTAAAAGAATTCGACAGTAGTAAATCTAACTTTTTTTTTTTAGCAAGAACATTGGAAGATAAGAAAAAAGAACTTACCCATTCTTTTGAAGCTCCTCTAAGTTGCTCGCGTTCCATTCGCTTCCAAGATAGACATGGTCAAATATTTCAGTCGGCGCATCCATTTGACCCAGAATGGTGAGCATCTCCTGATCGATAAATGGCTTAAACTCCCCCAGATCCATATCAAGGTCTTCCTCCAGACGACCTCGAATGTACTTCGAGGTTACTTCGTCGAGATCTACGGACATCATGATCTCCTTCAACGTAGACCGGATCACACGTTCAGTCTCGTCCCTTTCTCTGGGCCTATACCGACAAAACACAAAGTATGTATTTAGAGATGAAATCGGCATTAAGTACATATTAATTTATATATGATATGATCCGACAATATTTCCTTCCGCTTCAACTAACATCCTTCCACATATTTATAAATCGATACCTCCACCATCTTGAAAAATTCTTTGCAGTAAGAGATTAACTAGCCATGTTCGGTTGGCGGACAATTATTCATGAAAAAATCAAACTTCTCCGCTTTTGTTTACCATTTGCGAAAGTATTTCTAACACTTTGGTAATTTTTATCATGAAAATTAAACTAAATATGATTTTACTCGGACAATTTTCAAGAATACAGTAGCAGAACGCCGCATAATTGAATTCTTATTATCCGAATAGTCTGTTATTCGCGTATTATTACTTACTATTTGTATATTTATGTCTTTATATTGTGTGTGAATAAACTATGAATATTAAAATATAGTTTCACTCTAACCCTGTTACGCCATCAGGATCTATCGTAGCTACCCTATTTCAATATGTTTTAGGTGGTTCTTCATATTGCTTTTTCACTCCAGAAGACCCAAAAAGGCGGACGCAACTACCTACCTCTCCAGTGTTCTAGCGACGCAAGACCTACATTTTTTACGAAATTTATTGGTTCGAGGGGGTCATTCCTGGCAACCCTGTTCCAGATCTCCAGAAAGTCGGGCAACGAAAATACATACGTTGAATATAAGGTTTATCCTTATTGTATTATACTGCGTTTGTGATATAACTAATTATACGAACAAACTACGGGTTTGAAAGATCAATGTTATACGGTACTCACTAAAATATAATTAAGCAAACACAGTTAACATGGATTAGTGAAATTTTTAATTTAATCCTTTAATTGGTGAAGTAGTCTTTTTTTATTCAGTATTTTTGATTAAATTATCTATCAAACACCAAAATGCATAAACGTCTGAAGTCTAGTAGTGACGTAAAGAAAGTAAACAGTCGCCTATAATAACGTTGAGAAGAACGAAACAGAATGAAACGAACGTTGTTGTTTCGAAAACGAACGGGTACATAGCTGAAAAGTTCAACCAGTACTCACTTGTTGCGTACGCTATCCGGTGACGGCGGTCTTCGGGATTCCAGGTTGTCCATAGCATGCCACTCGTTGAGACACGAGCGATCGCTCTCGATTCGTTGTTCATAGTAACTAACCCAGTCGTGTGACAGGCCACCCAGGAAGTAATTCTGTTCGCGCGCCTTACTTGAAACCTTGTGCAACGTTTGCAAGGCTGACCTAAAACAGAAGTTGGAAATAAGATTTTAATAATTAATAAATGAACAGACTGAAAATTTAACAGAGATTTTGAGAAGAAATTGTGAAAACTTCATCGACAAGCAACGGCAATCAATTCATATATGCACGACGTATGTATCGTGCATAACGGTTTCTGTTTTTATACGAACTTTTACTTCCACCTTTTTGTGTAACTCAGTTTCCCAAAAACAAGTATCGTCCTGTGTAGAATTTTGTTTGTAATTCTAATGTAGGGCTAGTAAAGTAATTTCAGTATTTTCGAATTCACCGATAAAGATTTTGTTTCAGTAACTGATTTAATGTTAAAATTCTTAGCTTGTTTAATAGTAAACGCGTTCGTCCGTACCAACAGTACAAATAGATCGTGGTCTAATTAAACGATGTGGCGTGAGGGAATCAAATTCACGAAGACGTTGGTGAAATTTCTTAAACAGATTAAAAGTCCGAATAGGGATATTTTTCAGTATAATAATAACGGGCTGCAGAAATATTTCCATGGGAGGGGCTCCTTACATGCCTGCTTCCCCTTCCAATCTTTCTTTCGCGTCGTGTGCTTCCGTAGAGACAAAGAAAGCTTAGTTTCTTGTTTCTATTACTCCATGGTAACGGCACGCGGTGGTGGGGACAGCGTTGAACTCTCAGAAGTCAATCTTGCCCAGCGCTGCTTCACGGTAACAAGCCAAAGGTAGACGATAACTAACGAGCCTCTCTACTCTAAAGAGCCAAGCTGGACAACACTGCACTAGAGGTTTAGACTCCCCATTTTTTTAACCCTCCGAGTACTGGACTCGCGGGGCATCCGAAGCCGGATCATTTCTGACTCACATCGATAGGTTACTAACACAAAGTCACGGTGACTCGAGCTCGAGGCCCTCACCGACGCTGTAGAAGTTTTGTCGACTAAAAGAACGGACAGCTAGTAAAAAAGGAAATAGAATGAGCCGAAGACGTAAGTGAGATTAAAATACACAGATAGTATACAAGAAAAGAGAAAAAATATCGAAGTTAATGTAAAGTAGACAAAAAAAGTTTACACTTATTATATTCATATATTATACGTATTTTATTTTATACATATTTTCTTTTTAGATTTCTATTTAATATACAGGAAAAGGAAAGGAAGTGTAATTATTAAAAGATTTACCTACGATGAGACTAATTGTTATATAGAAAATGAAAACGAAATTTTATGCGAAATTGAAAGAGAAACAGGTTACATACATGTATATTATACACAAACATATATTATACTATTATAGATATAATTAATACTTAGACTTTTCATATAACATTCTTTCCAATACACATTTTATAAAAGCAATTTATCAAATAAAATTACATACAGTTTTTTCGTAGGTGAAGGATCTTTTGAGTTCTCAAAGTTAATTATATTCTTTGATTAATCATATTGAAATACTATGGAATAAAAATACTTTTTTTTTACATGAATCGATTCATTTAGTGGCAAATGTCTAGCTTGGTTAGCATCTGTTACCCATTACCTGTGATCCGCGAGACAAGAAGCAATCAAATTGCCATCAATATTCATTGGCGGGAATTTTATAATGGATCCTGATAAGTCAGTGATAACTATTACCGAAGACGCGAATTCTGTTCTGATTAAAATTTATATTTTTTAATTATTTCACAGTTAAAAATTAATATTTTATGATCATTTCATTTTTTGAAACAGTTTTGAGATATACATATAGTGATGGGACACCAAGCCGGATTCAAGTCGATCAAGTCAGATGATGTCACAGGGCCTCAGCTCGCGGCGGCGGTATCTAATCCCTATAAGCCTTTGGCGACCGACGCTCGGGTTACAATGTAATTACCCACGAATAAAAATTTTAACTTTTACTCCTTTCAATGTACTTTATTAAAAATGTTATGAATTAATGTAGGAGATTCGCCTGATGAAACTAAGTCCAAACCCGACATAAATCGGATTATTTTTAAGAACATACAATTTGTATCGCGACGTTTGAATGAGTACAGTACTGTTCCGATAAGTGTGAGTCGATTTGCTCACGACAAGTGTTAAGTCGTCATCCCCACCACTGGGGAAGGGGGTCGTGGAACCAGTCAAGCGTATAATTTTTTGCCCGGCGCGCCGCGGCGGCTTCCCTTTCACGAGCCGACGTCTAATCGAGAGGAACAAAAGCAACGATGAAACTTTTTCTTTTTGGTTCTTTTTAACGAAACTTTTACGAAAATATTCGTGAGATTTTTCTGATTAAAATGATCCCAAACACGATATAATTTGGACCATGTTTACTTATGATTTATCAAAAGCGATAATGAACGAATATGAACTATTAACACTATCTACATGAGTAAATATGATCCAAATTATGTCGCATCTGGTATCACTTTAATTAGAAAAATCTCACCAATATATTAGTAAAAGTTTCATTAACAACGAACCAAAAATAAAAAAGTTTCATCGTTCCATTAGCGTTGTATCACAGATACCTGGAAATGTAATCTTTTCTTGATGTCCCCTCGTTCAACCGTCGTGTCGGCTTGTCAAAAAAGGTACTTTTTCTTCTCACCGACTGGCACGACGGACTCGACGGACAGAGCGGGGAAATGTATATGTATATGTACGACGCTTCGTCGAAGCGATTAAGCGTCAGCAAATGCTTAGAGAGCAGTCGACGAATGAAATTAGCTGGATCACCTCCAGTCACACGTATTTTTATTATTGGCCGAAACGTACACACACAATTGGACTGTGTGACGAAGGGAACGAACGAGACACATCGAGACCGAGTAAGATAACGGGAACCGCAGCGTTTACAATGTAACCATTGGCCGGTGGGAGCGTCGCAGGCGGGCCATGCAGTCGAATCGTGTGGAAAGAGATGCTTTCTCTTTCTGCTTTTCACTCGCTTGTCCTTTTCTACGTAGGAATACTACAAAGGCAAGTGACCGAGGCTCGAGCTTCGAGCAAAAAACAGATTGACGAGGTGCCGACAACTGTCCGTGCTCACCGTGAGTGTGACTCCACGGAACCGAGGCATACTTATCGGGACATTACTGTATTTATCAGCTGCGTCCACTGTAACCTGTGAACCAGGTGATTTTATTTATTCTAAGCACTGCATTAGGACCAATTCAATAAAGATTATCCCAATACAACTGGTACATACGTAATATACATAGTTGAACAAAGTAATCTTTTAATCTTATCCAGATTAAGCCCAATCGGCCTACGTACATGAGGTTAGAAAAAACTACAGCTCCGTATCTGTTGAGCGTAAAATTATATTTAGCCTCCACGAAGTACGCCTAAGAGCAAGTTTATTTTTATCACTATATTCAGATACCAACTGATGGTTTTAAATCGTCAATAGGTTATTTCGTTCCATTTTTGCAACGTGATTAGATAAAACTGTTTCCAGCTTCCTCGGGTTGCTAATCGCTGAAACTCGTTGACAGTACATCAATGTCTTTTTTGATGCGAGTCAAAGAATCCTGAGAGAGTTTTGCGTAACGGTCATGGATGGTCACTGTCGTCGACAGGTATGTATTTATAATTAAACATTTTACGTAACGCGTTCACACTTAACCGACACGGTTGCTGTCGATACCCTTGCTCAACACTGATTCCTACCAAAACCTTCGGGCATACTTTATTTCATTTTCGTACTTAAAGGAAGGAGAACGCACGTGAATTATTATATATAATCTTATGATGTGAAGGAACATAGTTAAAATTCAAAAAAATTCGAAATACAGAATACAATGAACAGAATTTAAAAATGTCGGATTGAAAAATATTAAATATAACACTAGGGTTCCTGGTTATTCTTATTCTTTGGAAGAAATAACAATATTTATCACAGTATAAAGAAAAATTAGGATCATTTGGTGCAATTTATTTTAAGGGTCGAAACTTACTGCCGTAATTGTTTTGTTTATAAACTGTGATTTTCCATCTTTAACTATGGCATAATTTTCCGGATTAATTAAATGTAAGTAAGTTTATATAAATAATTTCGCGTGTTCTTATATGTAGAATCGTCTGCAAAGATAAAATTCATGTTTATTCATGCATTGCATATTGGGACAGACATTTAGATACACACGAAAAATTACGTAATTTTTGTCCGTTTTCTTCATATTTCTCGTAAAACTATTTAACCAGTTTTACCATTGATTAGAGTGCCTAAAACGCAAGGCCATTCTAATTTTGGACTGACTTAGAATATAAATTTTTAACAGGGAAATTCACACATTGAACCTCAATATTACTGTTAAAGTGTACGGGTGGATTAAAGGGGAAATTTTTTCAGAGTAAACAAACGATTCGTTTTACCAAATATGTAGTTAGATTCCAAGTAAACATCGAATACTCTCCGTTCGAAGAGCACTGGTCAGATTCGTTGCTACTTTATGATATCGGTTTCTATCCGACACAGATTTACGTTCGACCACTTCCGCATAAACACCATGCCGAATTGCAAGCAATTCACGACGCCGATGGTCCGCACGTTTGCGCAACAGATGAGGACAACAACGCCAGAGAGACTGAAGCTCGAGGCGTAGCATCGTAATTATAATGAGTCACGTCATCGGCTCATCTTAAATGGAACGGCTGGTGAAGCAAGCAATGACGAGCCGATTACTCGGCTACGAATTCAATTTGATGGCGACGGAAATGTTCGTTGCGCGGTTCACTTGGAACTGGTGAGGCAGAAATTAAAACGAAGAGCAAACAACGTTGCTGGCGGCGTGAGTACAGCTTATGTAGGCTCGAAGAAACTATCGTCGTCGACAGTGGCAAGTACTACGTCGTTTGGAAAGTTGGTAGTAGCGATGCCCGATACATTCAAAAGTGTCGATACATACAACATATCGGACAAAAAGTATCGATATTAATATCGATACATTAATAAAAACAAACAAAAACAAATCAGTAAAAAAACCATTCCTTCTTTTAATAATATAGTAAAGCACTCACTATATTT